TCATGTTAAACTTTATATTAAAAGTTTTTACTTTCATTACCCCACTTTTAAGTACCGTCTCCCAGCCATTATTAGTCTCAAAGTGGGTTCCTCGTCATCGAATAATAATGTGATTTGGTTCTTCCTGTTAGGAAGGAAACTTTCACATCGAAATCTGTGTTATGTTCTTTTAATTGTTTCTAACCAAATGTTTTGGATGGTATGTGAAAGGTAAGAAATATATTGTATAACACAATAAAAATAATTTCATTTTCTAAATCGTTGGTTGTATCTTCAAATTGTGATTCATTTTCTAGGGATGATAAAGTTATATTTATAACTTTGAGTGAATGATTGTTTTGTTGCGAGTTATAAATAAAACATTAATTTTCCTGTTAAAAGTTCTTCCTTTAATTTAACCATATATCTATATTCGAGTGTCATTTTTTTCAGAAGATTTTAATTTTTAAAGCAATGTATTGGTTAAATAAATTGATAAGCGTATTATATATATATACGTACTTTTAATATTGTAGAAGGAAATGTGAAACAACTTTGGACTAGACGCAAGAGACTCAGGAGGGAGGTACTGTCCACTAGTGTACAACGGTATGTTGAAACGTTGGTTGTAGCGGACGATAAAATGTTCAGCTATTATGGAGAAAAGGAGATCGAACCGTACATTCTAACTATTATGAACATCGTAAGTGTGGTCCAGGTTGCTACTTTTTAAGATTGAATCTAATTTTGCTTCAATTCAGAATTTTAGCTTCAACCTAATAACCCCTTGACAGCGTCAGTATCTTTGACATTAAACAGAATCAATATGTTTTTTATAAAATCTAAAAATCATTGTATAATTTTATTTAATTATTGTTTAATGAATTTCCGGTATAAGTAGCAAACTTTTAGTACTTGCGGATATCAACCATGATTATTAGCCTATACGCTTACTTATGTCTAATTATCCATTAGTTACTATTTTTATTAGATGGTACAGATTAATATCCAATTTATATCTTTCCTTTCGACTACTAATCTACTACTTCAGTAGACAAGTTAAGAGAGAAATACTATATGCTAGTGGGGCAAGGATTCGATCCTGGGTCATTTTGCAAGAAAAACTGGTGTGCTATTCATTCGTTCGAAGTATGAAGTCATTTAAGAAAAATCGAGGTTTCAGAGAAATGTTGATTTAAATGTATAACTATAGTACTGAATTCTGTTATATACTTTAAGGGACAAGGTTATAGATTTTTCACAGCTTATCTTAATAGGTAGTTAAAGAAAGGGGAAAAAATATTTAGTTATAGCATGTTAACGAAGGCATAGAGAATACTGCCTTCAAATGTCATTAAGCATATTTATTTGAAAGTGTTTCGTTACTTAAATATTTACAATTTCTATCAAACAAATTTGAGAAAAGTAGTAACTTTTTAACATATCGCATGCTGAAATATTCCAGTCAATGAAAATAAATAATTTCAGTATTGCCTTTTACCGTTTGTTGGAAACAGTTATATATATAAGAAGAGTAATCAATAAAAGAATAATTACGTACAAGGTAATATTAACTGAATGAAGAATACCAACGTCGATTAACGGTGAGATTCTGGCAGGGATATATTATCGTCATTAAAGTGACTTAAGTGAACGGAATTGTGAGAAGCTTAAAAAAGAAAGCGTTGAACAATTGCGGTTTTGATATTTTATATATAATAAACAAAAATTCACACGAGCTATAGTAACATGTACATTATAAAACAAATGTTTCGTTTTAAAAATCATTGGCCCTTGGCTTAAGTCATAAAGAGTGGATCAATAAGATTAGAAAGCTCCAGAGTCTAAATACACACGACCACGTTACCTAATTACACTGTATGCACGACCAGATTACCTAAAGCACTCACAACAGGTCCAACTTTGAATTAACAATTATGTGATTTGACGGTATTTCTTAGTATAAGATATTTGGCCATGAAATGTGATTGAATAAAATTATTGAATTCATTTCTCTCGTGCCACCAGAACAAAAATATGTGCGAAGAGAGTGGTGAGAAGAAAAATAATACGATGTTGAATGAAACTATGATATGCGTGAATGATACAGAATATTTTAGAATAACCCTGGCCAGAAAAATAAATAAGAATTCAAGAACTGTATCCAGCGCTTGTCTCAAATATTTGTTTTTTTTAGAGATATAATTATCACAAGAACAATCATCGAAATTCTGGTTAAATCTGAGGTATTGCTACAACAGTTCTAAATGTTGTAGTGTCACTATTCTCATATTTCTGGATTAATCAAACACATCAACATCACATAACAAAGAGTAACTTAATATCTCCTATAGCTTAAGAGAAATTTAGTCGAAAAGTGTAAACTAGTGGTCTTTTTCTTCTTGTTGAAAAGACAAAACATAATAAGCCAAACGAATACTTACTATATGAGCACATCTTATACAGGTCAATACAAACTAGGAAATGCGACTGGTTTTCAAATATTGGGATGTATTGAAATAACTAATATGATGCCAAAGCCTGTTTTCACTTCAACGCCTTGTAGTTAAAATACTGTTAAAAAGTTAACAGCTATTTATTAAACACTTCCTTTAATTTTTCCTACTTCTTTGATTAACTTACAGTAAAAGCATTAAACATTTAAATACATAAAGTAAAATCAATTAAATGACTTTTCACCCTTTGGATCAGCTTATAAAAGAATTCCATAATTTCCTAAAAACAAGTTTTATGTAAACAACTAATATATGTTATGAAAATCAAACTTTGTGTTGTAGAAAATTATGACTTAAAACAAAAAGTAATGATACCTGATCAGAATATTTTGCGTGTAACAAAACAGCCAAGTTAGAATAAAGGGGCCAGCCATATAAAAAAATGGTATCTACAAAAAATGCAAATTTACAGAAAATGCAAGCTCTGCACGTAAGCTAAAAAAAAAAAGAGCCAAGTTATATAAAAATGTATAAATATGTAACTGATTTGTGCTTGATTTCGCGCAAAGCTGTCTGCGCTAACCGTCCCTAACTCTACAGTGATAGATTAGATAGAAGGCAGCTAGCCAACACAACCCACCGCCAACTCCTGAGCTACACTTTTATCAACGAATAGTGGAATTGACTATTATATTATAACGCCCTAACGGCTGAAAGGGGCGAGCATAATTTGGTGGGACGGGGATTCGCACCCGCAGATTGCGAGTCGAACACCCTAACCAGGCCAAGTATGTAACGATGCGTTATTAAAATGATTAAGTTAAACAAGATAAAACTGGAGCAAACATAACCCTTCCTCTTTTGTTCCTGTTGCTGCTAGCTTCTGTTGCAATAAATTACTAATCTTTGAAAGAACAAGACATGACTCATTTTAATTTTCAACGTGTAAATATCTTTCCTCACTTTGCGATTTCCAGGTATCCAAGTTATACGGTGAACAATCAATAGGAAATGCAATTGACGTGGTCGTCACTCGATTAGTGCTCCTTACAGAGAAGCAGGTAAGCTGAACTAGAAACTATAATTAATATATTCTCACTCCCCTTTTGATCTTAACTAAACTTTACCTATCTCACGTTAGCTGTAGTTTCATGGAAATACTTAAAAAGTGTTGCAAGTTTCTCTTAAAATTATAGAAAATCCAGCTTTCGTGTTACTAAATATAATACCTGCTGATTTCTAGCGACAGGCAAGAGGATATTTATGGGAATATTCTATAAATGTGATAGTTTTGTTACCAAGACTTTATTCTTAAATTTACTTATACATCATGTTTAAGTACAAATTTATCCACTGTTTCATTGTAAGTTTTATAACATAAAAGTTAATATGTATTGAGATAATTAATCCAAAAGAAATAATGAATACTGTACAAAGTAGGTTGTTCAATCATGAAACTGCTAAACATAGTGCTTTGAGATTTAAAGAACACCTGAAAGCTTAAGTACTATTTCATGTGTTCGTACACGATTTCAGAAAAACGCGTAGATTCAAGTAGTCTGAATATAAAATGATAAAAACCCTGTAAACCGAGCGCTTTCGAAAGGTGGACCTTTCGCAAGCGCTCGGGTTACAGGATTTTTATCATATGATGTATTCGTAGTTATCGTAGTTTGAAAAATATTATTTCAAAAATTTATTATAAGAATGAGTCCCGAGCAACCAACTAATGAAACAAATATAAAGTCATAATGATCAAGAATTAAGGCAACAAATATATTAGTAGACAAAACAATGAAAATATCACAACTAAATTAAAACTCATGAAACAAGAAAAGGACTTAGTGACACATGTAAACAGCTTACACTTTGTAAGCAACATTCTGCAACAAATTAGTTCTTTGTAATTTTGCCTTTATGTTACTATCCTTCGCATTTAATATGATAGAGGGACGGATTTATATGGCCACTGTTTGTGATTATTTCAGTAACGTATCACTACCATGCCGACACAAAAGAAACGTGTCATCCACTTATCTTAATCGCAACAGCTGGTTTAAATGAAGCTGTATTTAAAGTCCGGAATTCAAAATCATGCATAAACCTTTCATACAAAAAGAGGACAACGGGGATCCCACAGCTTAGCCCTGGTAATATTTTCCCTCAAATTGAAAATACGCGATAGAAACGCAACCTTTAGTCTATGAGAAGATTTGTATACAAGGTATGAAAACAATTAAATGGTCAAGTACCTATGAACATTACCTAGTAAAAACCCCCTTAATCGAACATGGCTTCCACTCACATGCTACAAATCTTCCACCATTGGTTCTAATTGAGGGAAATTGGATAAAACTGATTATATGAGAATCCCCTAACAGAAGAATCATGTCCCTAAACAACTTAGTTCCTTATACAAACATAGCATAATTTTAAAGAGCTCGAAAGCAAAGCTGCACAGACGTTACTCACCTTCTTCAAGCTGCATAATAACAGTTTACACTACTGTTTGTTCTAGCTGAGAAATACATGACAATAAAATATTCAGTAAAATTACATGTTTAAGATATATGTCAATTCTAAAAATTGGACACATAACATCAAACCCAATGAAAACATGTGGTGGCTTCACTTTTTATAGACAATTTTACATACTTTTGAATATTTCAACTCTGTCAAATTAAACATATGCTTCAATAACATATATTCCCTACATGGGAAAGACTGGCCCTATTTTTAAGTTCATGTTACTGCTAGTTCCAGTTACAATAAAAAAAAGTTCCCATTCTAATAAAAAAGAGCACCAATATTCCCCGATATTTTATTGTCTAACTTACTCACTTTACAATACATCTTTATAGGATTCCCTTTTATATAATTTAGCTCTTACTTTAATATCATATCTTATACGACTGATCCCTTGAATCTAACTTGTCTGGTCTTGTGCATGTTATGCTTTTATGATTGCTATTTTAACATTAATTGATAATAAGATTCCATTTGAAGTAGGATCCTAGCCCCAGCTGTCAAGGAAAGCTATCAATAAAAATACAGCTTTTAAGCACCATTACGTCATTCCCTCATTTCAGATTTTCCCTATGCCTCTAGGCCTGTAAGTAATCAGTTTTAATATAGTGGCTGGGGAGAGAAAGTAGATTACTATATGTCCTGTAGTTGTTATACCGTAGCTTGAACTTACATCTTCCAGTAGAAACGCGTTTCATTCTGGTCCTCCTTTTTTACTGCTTTGCTACTTCAACAACAACAAGCAGAATTTTATACTTGTTTGCCTGCTAATTTTCTCTCAAGCAAATATTAAATTTCTCTTTTAATGTGATGTTAGAGTATTTAGATCTGTTCAGAAACATAATAATAGTGTTATTCTAGCATTTGAAACACTGTAGTAATACCACCGATTTGGACAAAAGTTCGATTCTATATATGGTGTCACGATAGTTATATCGTCCTTTTAATTAATTTGGCTGAAGTCATTACCGTGTCTCTAGATCTAGATCAGTGGCACAGTGATATGTCTGCGGACTTACAACGCTAGAAACCGGTTTTCGATACCCGTGGTGGGCAGAGCACAGATAGCCCATTGTGTAGCTTTGTGCTTAATTCCAAACAAACAAACAATTTATGCAGTTAAAAGGAGTGCAACATTAAAATAGCTGCACATTAAATAATTTATCAAAAACAGGGCCCAGTGCTAAAAAACTACATCTTTTACTGTTCTACGCCACCATCCTCAGAAGTAAAAGTTCGATCATGACTTATACAACAAATAAATAATTTACATACTTTTAGCGTCATCTAGACACCAAAGAATTTATAAAATATATGTCCAGTTATTCGTTTCTTCTAACCCTGGCTAATTGGCTTTCCTTTTCAGCCAGATCTCAATATTACCCATCATGCAAGCGATACTTTGGAGAGTTTCTGCAACTGGCAAAAGTTAATTAACACTAGAGAAGTGGCGTACAGGCAGCTAGAGGAAGGAATCGCCCATCATGACAACGCCATCTTAATCACCAGGTATAAATATCCCGTGAACGTTATGTATATATCTCTCTTGTTTCTGATATTGAATTAGCATAGTTATATTACATTCATTTTAAATTAGTTTTATCGTCATGTACTACATCAACAATGGTGAGTTCTCAGTGAAAATATTTGTTCTGCTGAAAGCTTTTGCTAGAACATATTATCAATACTTACTATCACATTGTACTTACAAACGTTGTCAACAAGTTCCAGTGGGAATTAAAGTATTGTTACGACAGTGGAAGTCACGAGACGCTGGGAGCATTCGTGCTGTAGTTTCTAGAAGGATCATGACTTATCGAGGAACCCCGCGAATGTCCGAGTGTTTCTTAGCATATAACCCCGGAAAATAAAGCCAGCGGGATATGCTGATAGACTGAAGATAGAGATAATTGAGTCACGCGAACAGTAGACACCGTAAGTAAAGTGTGCGAATCACTGTGATTTATG